CACTTTCTCAAAACCACATAAAACCAATGTTTACTTAAAATTTAAGATTACAAATAAATTTTGCAAAAGTAAAACTTATTAAAGCTCGATGTTTGAATTCATATAACTAATTGCGGATAAACATAATCAAATATAAGATAAACATCTTATTTTAAAATATAAAAAATCTAAAATATAATTAAAATAATTATCGAGTTCTGACAAAATAAGTAATTATTATCTTTATAAGAAAATTATATTATTAAACCAAATATAAATTACTTCGTTATTGTACCTAAATTAAATTATAAAAAATTAAATTAAAAAAATACACAAAAAATAAGGAATATTAAATAGTTAATATGATACTAATATCGATATATTTTTGTCAATTTTTTATGATATCTTCAAACTTATATTTTATTCAAAAATAAAAACATCATCGCTTTCTCAAAATCACATAAGACCAAATTATAACATCGACTGAGATAAAGAATAAAATGAAATATTAAAATCAAGATGTATCTCGCTGCATTGCACGAATACCCTTCTAGTATATATAAAAATGATATGTATATATATATATATATATATATATTTATATAAATTTATTTACTCATTCATAAATTCAACTCTATTTACAAATTTAATATAAACTTATATATTTTATAGATTTATTAAAAAATATATACTAAAATGATTAAAAAAAATCATGGAACAAATAAACGTTACTGTATGATGAACTGATTTCTTGTTAAAAAATGTGACTATAGAAGAATTTGTGACCACAATATAGGTTCTTGAAATACCATATGCAAAAATGTGTCAGGTTTTCTATTCATGTTCCTGTTCTTTTAGATTTTTTTTTTCATTTTACTATATTATTTATGTGGCTCTTGAAATAGTGTCCCGAAATCACGTATTCAGTAGACTATAGCCATAAATATATAGAGGTCATATACATAACACTAACAATTTTATTCGTTTTAGAGGTCCATAACTTTAATGATACATGACCCATCTCTTTATTTCGTCTTCAATAGGTTTCATATTCACCTTTTCATAATTATADAAATGTGTTAAGGTAACATTTACAGTATTTTTGTTGTGAAGGTTCCGTTTTTTTACCTTCATAACATTTTGTTATGAAGTTTCAAGTGTAAAAAAATGGCCTCACAAGAATAGGTTGGTCTCACGTGAACCCAACTCTCTCTACACACACACACACACACACACACATATATATATATATATATATGTTTAAATACATACTTTTTAAAAGATATATTTAATAGTTTATGATCAAAAATATATAAATTGAGATTTTATTATTTGAAAAGTTATATGTTGAGGGAAATAATTTCAAAATTCGCCAAGTATAACATATGTCATTCCCTAAACACTAAACACTAAATTTTAGGGATTTTATAACAATTGCTGAATAGTTTGGTGTATAATGATTAAGTGATCAAAATGATTAAAAGACTCTTATAATATAATACGAAATAAAATATAATTGTTTGATAATCATCCAGAATGAAATTAAGGCGTTGAATGGTTAAGAAAGATCCAAGATACAAAATCATTAAGAAGGTTTTTGAACCATTAACAAACAAATATTTCTTGACAAATAATATTCACCTCTTAACGATTGAGATACTGCCTCTTAATAGAACTATTAAGAGGTAAACAAATAACCCCTAAACCCTTAGATTATTAAAATAGACATTTTTGAATTATGAATCCTTAAATTGAATTACATATCATGACCAAAAATATATTCTCATGGGATCAAAATCACAATCAATTAACTCGTTTATTGATTCGAATTCGATAATTTTTATATTTTAATTATATAATTTATAAAGATATAAACATGTTCAACTTGAAAAGTGTATGTTTGTATCAGTTGGGTCAAAATTTTTAACTGAGTTTTTGAACAAGCAAATTAAATTGAACATTAGTGTTACGAAATTAACTCGTTAAGTTAAATAGGCTTTAGTTTGTGTATTAGATTGACTCGAACTTCGAGAATTACCAAACTTGAACTCACAATAAATGAAATTGAGCTCAGGTAGCTCATCAAACACCAGAATTATTAACATCCCGTTACAATATAACAGTAGGACGAATCTTACCAGGTATTAAAAAAACATCCTCGGTCATGAACATCATTTATTAATTCTACCAAATGCCAGCCTTCCATAAAATTAAGTGCATAACAACCATATTTTATGACTCATTTCTCTCTCTCTCTCTCTCTTTCACACACACACATATATATATATATATATATATATATATATATATATATATATATATATTATACATGTATATGATAATAAAAATCCATAATAACCATATTTTCTGAATCATTTTATATACATACGCATACACACATATAAAGTTGAGTTTCGGTGAGAAAAAAGTTAAGATAAAAAATGTAAGAAAGGATCTTCACTTTTGGATACACATTAGGATGAGATATATCGGATTAATCCCTAAAATACACAAAAGTGATAACTCTTGTTCTTTAAATTATTTATTCTAACATAAAAAATAATAATTTATATTAATCTACATTAAAATGAAATCAAAGAGTCAATATATGAGGCATTTATCAAGTAAACGCTGAACGAATACAAAAATAGTCTATGTAAAAGGGTTGATCAAAGTGTCTTTGGTCTAGCGTTATCGTAGTTTTTAGCTTTCTAGAAGGTGAGAGGTTCAAACCTCACATGTGAGAAAGATATATAAGTTTATTTGTTGTATTTGTCGTATATAAATATTATGTAATTCAAAAAAAAATTGTTGCTTTACCAAACATTTTGTAGCAAGTATTTATGAATGAAAATATTTTGGGTAAGTAATGTCAAAGGGGTTGTTTGGTTGGTTTCCATATATAATTCATGTATGGGTTAATATGTCTTTATAAATTGAAAATAATTTTGTTTGAAAGAGTTTTTTAATTAGTAATTTTGTTTGAAAGAGTTTTTTAATTAACGGAAGAAAAGTGTTTTTTAATTAGGAGGGACAAGTTTAAAAAAAAACTTGACTTTCTGCATAAAACTTTCTCTAAAATGTTACTGAATAAGTCACTTTATTATTAAGCTACTATCAAACAATCATATATAGCTGACTGAATAAGACATGAGTTTATAAACTCGTTAAGTTGTTAACAAACAAACCCTGACTCAATAAGTAATTATGGTGGTTAACTTGGCCAACACCCTGGTCAATCAAAACTGTAGTTAAACAATATCATTTCTTATCAGATAAAAAAACTCTTCTTGTAGAAGAATCCTTTATCCGACTGGAAACAATCAACACTAAGATACCGTTTCCAAATCCATTCCAATCTTATGTTTGGTTTGTTGGATTATTCGGATTTGAAATCATTAGATTTTTGAAATTTTACATACATAGGATCTTAAAATCCTTAAAGGGTGCTCGGAATTTCACTGGATTTCGTAGAATTGTAAGTAATATGGTTTTGGAAAATGTTAAAAATTTTGTTTTGTAATAGTCGATTGATAAAAATATAATATAATTATTTTATAAATAACGGAATCCAATTCCATTCCAAATCTTATAAACCAATAATTTTAAATACATTCCAATTTAAAATCCAAATCTCTCAAAAACAATCCCTAAACAAACAGAAGGTTATTGTAGATAATATATATGATGATAACATTACATAAACATTCTATATCTTATTGAATCAATACAGTTGAGATTGATCCTCTAAACTCCATTGTTGACTCATTTTCACCGATCCACCCTCTGAACATCCGTCTTCATTCTCTTTGTGTTTACGTGAATGGACATGCAAACTCATTAGGGTTTAGTAAATGACCATCTTTAACAAACCTTAAAAACGCCATGGATTCTTTACAGATCCTACCACATGGATCTAGTCGCAAAAATGGTGGAAAGAATAACCAGAAGCTCGTACCCACGAACAAAATCCAAGTTAACCCAATGCCCACAATCGGCCTTGGCTCAAACTTCTGCAAATCCATGGTTTTCTTCATCACAATCTCGATTCCAACCAAAACCCCATGAATCACAAAGAACCAAGTGACTTCCCATGTGGGTTTATATTCATCTTGGCCAAGATAATAGAACACCATTTCATGCATGATTCCAGAAACCAGAAAGGTTACAAAAGTGGCTGGAACAGATACCCATCTTTCAGGAACCAAATGGCTAAACACGGCTCGAGCCGGAAGATAGATCGAACCTCGCAGCGTATCCGACACCATCAGGTTCCACCGTTTCCCCCAAAAGTTCTGAACCGAAGTCGCAAACTGTGGCTCGTCGAACTGTGGTTCAAGCTTGACCCCAAGAAGGGTTCGAACCAGAAATGCAGCCACAGCGAAAAACAACACGAGCATGAAGAGGAAGTAATACGCAACACACGACATGGTTAACAAGGGGTGGATTCGAAGCTCGTCTTTGTAACCATACCCTTTAATCACGACAAAAAGCAGCAGGATTTCAGGGGCATAATCTATGTGTGATTTCTTGGTGAGTTTTTTAGAGTTTTCTTGGTCTTTTGGTATGATTTTAATGGGAAGACAAGCAGTGGCAATGAAATGAGATAAAGGGAGAGATGGGTGTGGAGATAAAGGGCCATGACCAAAGGCAAAAAGGGTGAGTTTGAAGGTTCCAAGCCATGAAAGGAAGAAGGAGGTTGGACCAGCAAAGAAGATGGTGGTGAGGTTTAATGGCAGAAACAAGAAGAGACAGATGACTGGAAGTAGAAGCAAGAATCTGGTTGTACCTTGTGCTATGAACATACCAACACCATGAGAGTAAAGAAGAGAGGTTAAAGCTATGCTCCAATCTACAACAAGATTGCATACTTCTCCTCCCATTTTTCTAAGGGTTTTTAGGTCTTCCTTGTGGATCTAATGATCAAAGAGAAGCTATATATATATGTATATATATATAAGCAAACAACATAGAAATCAAGTGTTGGATTAAATATAGTTTTAAAAAGGAGACCCATGATTTTATGGTGGTTTAAAATAAATACATAAACAGGATAAAAATTGAATATATAAAAAATACATATATGGTACATCGATTAAATATAAGAGGTCGTTTACTAAACGTTTATCAAGGTAAGCGTTTACCAAGTCATATTACCTTACCGAATGAATATGATAACGACCAAGAATCTTATCAGGTAAGAGCGAGACAAAGACCAAGAATCTTACCAGATAAGTGAGAGATATGACTCTTATCATGGTAAGCGTTTATTGGGTAAATTGTTGCATACCATGTCGTTTTGGTGGACTAAAATGTTATCCAGTAAATACATGATAGTGTTAAATTTTACAGGTATGGGGTAAGTGTTGATAATCGAACTCTAATTAAGTTATAAACTTAAATCATTTAATTTTATTAATACTTATTTTTTTTTTAAATATCTCTTAATATTTAAGGTCTTGGTAGATTATTTTAGTTTTTTTTCTTTCTACTTGATGATTTTATATGATCAAATTGAATACAATATATTAATTTCAAATATAAATAAAGTAAATGTAAAGTATAAACCCTGAATCTTAGACTCTAAATCCTAAATCCAATTACAAGGGTGGTACTCGATTGGTTTGAGTTTGGACTCCAAATATCAAAAGTGCCTGAAGGTCCCAAGTCTGAATCCAAGGAGGAATAAAAATCCCCCTTGTGGCCATGAATGTTCAAATACGGTGACTCCGGACTACCCATGAAGCGGGTAGTCGTCGTCCTGTGATTAGTCGATTCGCATAGCGGGTTAGATATTCAGGTTAATCAAAAAGAAATCCTAAACCCTAAAAAATGGGTTAATAATCATAATGTAAACATCATTACATTAGTATAAAACAAATTACCCTACCTACATAAACTCTAATAAGAAATTCGTATTTATGTAAATTTTATTAAAAAAAAATATACCAGAAGGATCAACGTCAACTATCTAGGTAAATGTGTATTTGATGGAGATTAATTATTGCATTTATTGGATTTATTTTTTATTTGTTTTAATATTAAACATATAATTAATTTTTAAACTATTTAATATTTACTATATTTTAATTAATAACTAATTAATTAATATGATAATGGTATACGATGAAAATTGAAAAATGAAAGAGCGGAGGAACTAACTAACAACACTAAAATATTTGAAGGGTTAAAAGTGTAATTATCCCCAAGTACTAACTCTCGTGTTTTTAATTCTTAATTTTCATACAAACCCCTAAACTTCTAATGTTTATGCTTTCATCCCAAAAAACCTTATGATTTCACATTCAAATACTTAACTTTTTGCTACTTAACCCCCAATTTTTTGTGGTTTCACGAGCAAACATACCTATAAAGGTGGGTCTCTTGTAGTAGTTTGTTTTGATTTATATTTTAGACATTGATACTGATAGGGGTGTTCATGGATTAGGTTGATCGAGTTGAAGACATTTGAACAACTCAATTCAATGTTTGCGGTTTGAAAAATCCTAACCCAAACCAAACCAAACCAAAGTGCAACCCAACCCAACCCAACTCAAATTGTACGGGTTGGTCGAGTTGATATTTTGGTATATTAAAATATAGTTTTAACCTTGAATATGTTATTTATGTGCTTATAGTTTCTTTATTATCATCAATCATTTGATATAATTTATCCATACTTTTTACGTATATCACATTTAATTAATTTTCTCAATTTATATATATATGTTCACAGTTACTAAACATATATATGAATGAGTTATATAAAAATGAAAAATGGATTGAATATATGTATATATGAAGAGCGTACATGATAGTGTAATTGTCCAATGTATATATTAGTATAAACTCAATAATCGTAAATAAATAAAAGGATCTCGGATTCATTGGGTTGGGCTAAGTTCAAATAATAATAACCCAAGATCAATTTAATACATACGATTTAAAAATTTTACAACTTATTTAGACACCGTGTTGTTTCGAGTTGAGTTATTTTGCGTTGGATTGAGTTGGTCGGGTTTTTGAGCATCCTTATATATTGATGTTTAAGATATAACATTTTAAACATTTAAGTGTTTTGTTTAAGGTATAATAGTGGTTTTGAAGTTTACTTGGTGTGTTTTGGATATATCGTATGTATTTTGGGTATCACATTGTGTATCTTGGTGTGTTTTGGATATTACATCGTATGTATTTTGGGTATCACATTGTGTATCTTGGTGTATTTCGGATATCAGATGATGTTCGCCGAAATAAAGCTTACTGGAGGCCGGAAGTAGGAGAGAGGGACAGAGGAGAGATTTAAAAAAAAAAACCCAAAATGCTCTTTGATTAAAAATTTAAGTCAAATTACAAAAAATATTAGTTTCTTAATTTATCAATTGTTTTGAATGAACACACACACACACACATATATATATATATATATATATATATATGGTTGGGTTCATGTGAGATCCGTAAGACCATTTTTTACACTTGAAACTTCATAGCAAAACGAGGTGGAGATAGTAGAAGCCGAACCTTCACAGCAAAAACACTGTGAAGGTTACCTTCACATCGTTTCTATGAAGTTTCAAGTGTAAAAAAGTGGTTTCACGGGTATCACGAAAACATGATGGTCCTAATAATTGGTTTGTTCCGGTTTTGATAAGTGCGCCTGACATTACTTTCTTGCCCATTTTCGAGCAAGCTATTGCCAAGAAGGTACGAACGAAGTGACAGGCCCTTTTAGACCAGAGGATCTTCTTCTGTCATGGACCAGGAGTTGTCGAGCACGCGAGCACCCATACGAACCCAATCCCCCCTAAGTCTAATGATATCATTTTTTGGAGTGTATACATATATATATATATATACATATATATATATACATATAGGGTATATTTCTTTTACAACCCTCCCTATTTATACAATCCATGCAACCTCCCTCTCAACCAATCAATGAATTTTGTTTGTTTTAATTTATTTTTTAAATGAAAAGGTTAATATTGTCATTTGCTAATTTTATATAATAATAATTATTTTTAAATAATATCAATAAATATCATATTAATTATGAATCCATATATTTTCTATTAATAACTGAAACTGATATGGTAATTAAAACATTACTAAATAATAATTTTCTATTAACAATAATGATGAATCGATGGAAGCATTTTTTTAGAATAATATTTCATCATAATCCTATGGATCCCATCTCCTTCAACGAGACATTCGTCAATGATATTTTTGATGAAATGGATGGCATTAACGGTAAACGTAACGGTACTAA